GATTTTATTAAGAATAGCATATTAATGATATTTTCTTAACTTATAAACAAAGTATTTGAGGATCATATAAGTTATTATTTGTCATATTATTTTATTCAGATAAAAATAAAGCAATGTAAATTAAATGTTATCATTCTTTTTTATGATTTATTTAAATCAATAATATAATTTTCGGAGGGTGTAGTGTACGAGTGGATTAAGGCATCGGTTGCAATGTGCACCGTTTCCGGTTTGAATCCCAGTCATATGCGCCATCGTTTTCCGGTCAGTTTACACTGTCTGGAAAGAGAGGCCGACGAACTCCACCCATGAATGGTAGAAACCTATGGGTCCCTTTGAAATTCTGCCTATCACCAACATATTCCAACCAACAGTTCCCTCCCCCACAGTTCTACAGGATAATGACCCATGCTGTTGATGCCTCAATTCCAATAACAAAAAAAAAAGAAAACAATTCTCATTTAAAATGTCAGTCTTATCTGTTTTACATTTAAAAAAAAACTGAATATAAGTGTCATACTGTCATCATCATTATTCATTATCAATATTATTTTATTATAACAAAAGTCAAGGTCCATTAACATAAACCACAGTCTATGTAATTCAATATAATTACTTGAGGTCGCTTGATAAATAATTTTTAACATCAAGTCTGTGTATAATATATTTATTACTATAAGTATGTGTTTGTGTTAGTTACATAGTTGTATAAAATAAGATTATTATTGGATTAAATTGTCAAGTTCATGTTTCCCCAAGAAATGCAACAACAAATTAATTATTTATTGTGAACTGAAAAAACCTGAATGATTTGAGGTAAGTTTTAATGATTGGTATTAAATATTTAAGTTAAGTTTATTATTGTTTAAAAATTTAATATGCACAAAAAAATATTCAAAATCTGATATAAAACTAACTGGTCATCAGATGGGAATACCTAGAATGAGGATGGTCTTTATTTTTCTTTCTACTTGTTTAGTCAAATCATAAGACTACWGTGATTCGAAAAAAACTTAGTTTAGGATGAAACTGATGCAAATGTCACAAAGTCAAGAGACTAGCCTACTGGAATTTTTAAAGCTACGTTAAGTTATTATTAATTACCTAAGTACTTCATTGAAACATCAAAAAAGATTAATCCTCATCCATATGCCATATTTAATCTATTTTTATATTTATATTTMATCTATTCTGTGGAGTGTGAATAGACTTTAAACTTTGAAGTTAAAAAATAGTGTTTTCATCTCAATGACGTTAATAGAATTTTTGTAAAGTGGTGTACTGGTGTCAACTATAAATAGTATAAATATACTATATACATACAAACTATTAGTTATTACTTTGATTAAGACATAATATTGTATTAGTGTATATTATCCATAGAGCTTCTGAACATTTATGGGCCTACGTGAAATGTGTGGCTATGATTTTTTTGTAATATATTTTTATGTTTTTATTATTATAATAAAAATGTTTATAAATCAATAAATCATACAATCTGTACATGTTAGCACAATAAGTAAAATATTATTTATGTTACTATGTAAGTAATTACTGTAAAAAATAATGTTACTCGTATATATATATTTTACACTAAATGTTAGTCACCTATCAGCCATCGCGATTTATAATTACTTACAGAATTTATATTGGATAAACTATAAAAACCGATAAAATGTCACTCTCATATGGACATACGAGTTGCACATTATATGAATATATGTTGAAAGCAATAGATTTACAAAGTAATCCAGACAAGTTTTAAGTTAAATCAATAAACAAAATTTAATACAGTGAATAATAATAATAATAATAATAATATATTATAACACAATGCACTCATGAACGTATATCGGCAACGGGTTGCATATCTCGACTGCTGTAAAGACAAGAATTATGTACATAATCATACTATATCTAATATTACTAACTGCCACACACACACAATATTGAAAATATATCATCTCTGCATTTTCAATTTCTCTATAAATGTATAACTATATAACTAATATACAGTATGATAATGATAATACTACTTAYTGTATACAATCTACAGGGTAACAACTAAATTATAATTTAATATTTCAACAATATATGATGAAAATAACAATATACATATGAAACCCCCGAGTACTGCAGCCTGAAATACATGTTTTGAGTATTTCTGAACATGGTATATTATATTTTAACCTACCAATTTGATTTAAATCATAGATTGTAACATAAAGTCTGTGTGGTAAAAATTGTTTCTTGTTATAATTTTTTATTTACATTTGATTATTCTTAATCCTTAGTTGTCTGAACTCTGTATAATATTGTTAATTTTTAATCTAGAATAGTTAAATTTATAAGAGACCAATTTTAAAATCTAAATCTATATTTTACATGTTAAATTATTAACTTATTAATTATTATTAATTATTATTTATTATTGTACCCACAGAATTACTAGTATCATATAGGTAATAATATTGATAATTTGACTAATTATTTAATATTTTTGTGGGATTTATTGTCATTAATTGTTATTTAAATAATGGTACTCTTTCTTTTTATAATTCCATTTATAAATTGAAAAGAGAATAAAAATCATGAACTAAAATAAATATTTAAAGTATTTTTCACAAAACAAAACTATTAAGCATACCTATAGTTCTAGTTCCTACTCTACTGCCTACTAGTATTAAATTATTACCATTKGAATTTTTAAAGTTATAACATATACCTATTACGCAAAATAGGTAGGTATGTATCATACCTTACACTATTACACCAATATCTAAATTGATATGACACCTCACAACCCCTTGCATACAGGGTACACTAATGTTACAATAATTGACCTATAGCTTATGAGTCATTAGTAATGACATATTCAGGGCCTCAGGGGTGTCCCAGGGTGGCCGTGTCTCGACTCATCTCCTAAGTAAAATTCTATATTCTTTATTTTTATATGGTTGGTTGTAGTCGCCAGTTTTTAGTGTGATTTTAAAATGTTGATCAATTATTATTGGACACGCCYGATATATTATTTTTAATTATGTAAAACCAGAAGCAAACACAATTTAATCAATATTATCTTCCCACATACTACTTAGTGACCTGTAAAAATAAATCAACAAAMATTTTAACTAATATAGTTATGTACCTAAGTCTGATTTTAGTTTTGAAATTAGTGTTTATGTTTAAGTGTTATACCAACGGACTTGGAAATATTTTAGGGGGTCCAAAATTGTATTTTAACCAGGTAATGTGGTAATCGTAATATTATTACGATTCACAAAATTCACGCGGTCACGGATTCAGTGATTACATTATCAAATTGTAATAATCAATATGGCCCATAAGTTTTGTCAGTTCCGAATTTCTGATATCCGGCACATTATTTTAATTTTTTTTTAGCATATTACCCATTCTAAATTAATAACTCGAAGAATCTTAGTTCTACTTAACCATAGTAAATCACTAAATTTTCTCAAAGTTAAATGAATCTGATCAAGAGTAATATAGTATTTTAGCACGCCACTTTCGAACAAGTAACGTGTAAGCATTGACCTATTATAATAGGTCAATGCGTGTAAGTAAATTTATTAAGTGTGTAATTTTTAAACCATGTAAATGGCTGAACAACTAGAACTCCGAAATCTGGTGATTGAGTCGGATACACCATCGACAARTTCGCCGCTAACGCCAAACGTGACGTCTCCTAAAACACAAATAAAAATTCTCGGTTTACTGTTAGCTGCTATATCATCTTTATTTTTCTCTCTGAGTTCATTGATAGTGAAATGGCTCGACAATATGGATCCATTGGAATTAGCCGCAATTCGTTTTGTCGGAATATTGATTCCCTCAGTACCCATTCTGATCTACACTAAGCAAAATCCATTTCCAAAAGGTCAACGACTTATGCTAGTACTTCGTGCTTTTGCTGGGGCCACTTCAGTGTCTCTCATTTTCTATGCCATCAGACATATGCCCTTAGCTGATGCTTCAGTAATTGTATTCAGTGTGCCTGTTATAGTCGCAATATTTGCCAGAATATTTCTCAAGGAACCATGTGGACTATTCCATTACTTTACATTATTTTTGACAATGATTGGAGTTTTATTGATCACAAGACCTCCTTTCTTATTTGGCCAGTCAACGAAACAATACAACTTTTTAGGTCCATTAGCTGCTTTGTTATCTACATTTTTTGGAGCTATAGTTTATATACTACTTAGAGCTTTGAAAAATTTACATTTCAGTGTTATATTGGTGACATTTTCTGYTTATTCTATTATACAAACAACTAGCATGGCTTGGGCAACAGGGAACTTGAGTTGGCCAAAATGCGGTATTGAGAGAATTTTATTGATCGCTTTGGGAATATTCAGTTTTTCTGGGCAAATGTTATTAACCATTGCAGCTCAACTCGAAGAAGCTGGATTAATTGCTATTGCAAGGACTGTCGATGTGGTGTTTGCTTTTCTGTGGCAGATAATATTTTTTAATGAGGTACCTAATATTTTTAGTATTATTGGTGCAGTGTTGGTGACTTCATCTGTTATACTGATTGGTCTAAGAAAGTGGATGATGTCTATGCCGTCTACTTCTAGTTTCAGAAAAAAATATGGTTTTCTATTTTTATGACAGCCACATATATTTTACTTAAAGTTAAACTATTGATCT